CTTGAGGATTTCAAAGTATATTGTGGGTTTACAGACTGTCTTACTGGTGATAAAAGTAAAGGCATTCATTAACAAATTATGGGTTTGATGTGCCCCTCTGTTGCCCCCTTCCTGGAAACAGAGGTGAAAAAGTTAGCTCTCCCCAGTATACCAGCAAGGATGGTGCTCAGGTGGGCTTGGAGAGGTACACAGCAGACCAGCAGCTGGGACAGCAGGTTCCTTCTGGTGGCCCCCTGCACCCCAACTCCATCCTCATTACAGCACGTGAGATCCTGTAATTCTTCCCCTCGGTTCACATTCAGGCTCCAATTCTGGCTACTGACCAAAGATGGACATGCCCATGATATCGCCCAGGGGTTCTGGGGTGTGTGTTGCGTGTGTGTGTGTGTCTGTGTGTAGGGAATCAGGTACTGTTATTTCAACAATGCAGAAAACTTGTCTTACCTTTTCAGGTCCACTGTTGTTACATTAAATATAACGCCCTTTAGCCAGAGAATCATAAAGAGACGCTGAGAAAATGGGCAATTTCCAATACTCTCACCATCATAACCAGCCTACGAGTGGAAAAAAGAGATCTTTATCTGAGCCAGTCTCACAAATATAAATGCCAGATACTACGATATGCATCCACAAAATCATAAATTTGTATGAATGGTCATGACACTGTAAGTATCCTCCTGAGGCCATTTTACTCGGTCTCTCTGCCAAGTGGGAGGTGGCCGTGGGCAGGGGAGAGAACACACACGCTGCACGGAGCACCGTCTCTCTTCTTTCCCCGCCACCTCACCACTTCCTGCCACGCTGGGCCTCTGAGTAGCAAGTCACAGAGGGAAAGAGCGGCCAGAGGGAACTCCCTTGGTCACACAGGCAGAAAAGAAAGACATCCTCTTTTTCTCCCTCTGTCTCTTATCCTCTGCAAGAAAGGCAGGTGCCCTCGATTAATAAGTGACCAGTTGACTCTCCCACCAAGACACTGTCCACTATGCTCCTCCACAGAATGAAAGCATTGGATTATCCGAGTTCAAAGATCCCTAGACATTTCAAAACTTGTATGTCCCTTCTCCTGATTCATGGGGGTGGCAGAGAGACGAGATGGCAGCACTTGCACCTAGAAGGTAGGTAACTACACAGTCAGCGTTGAGGTGGAAGGATATGAAACAGTTCCTTCCTAGTGCACCAAAGCAGGTCACATCCATGCACACCCCGAAACACAGACATAGAGACCTACTGAGCATACGCCCTCCTTCCCTGGGCTCCTGGCAGAGGAGAAAGGCAGGTGTTGCTGGTGAAAAAGGAAATACTCGGGGGGCGTCGCAACTCCCAGCGAGTGGACTGATAGAACCAAGGCTAACAAAGGACGTTGTGGGTGGGACCCTTCTTTCTCTTGCCATCTTTCCCCACTCCATGGAAAGTCATGGTGCTAATAAAACGCTGCCAAAAAGGCAAGGAGGTGGCTTGGATACACTCCCCACATCTCCAGCCTTCAATCCCACACTCAGCCAGCTTTCAAGGACAAAAACACAGCCACGTTTAATATGTGAAATCCATTTCCACCACGTATAGTTAAAGAAAGTTGAGAAGAAAGCACTGTCTCTGTAACCTGAACAACAGAAGGACACGAGGCAGAAAGTGAGCTGCTTGTTTGGGAATTGAAGAAGAAAAGAAAAGAGAGAGCTCCAGAAGATCAGACAACCTAAACAGTACCCCAGAGGTGATTCTCTGCCTTTAGTGTTCTTGAGTCACAGCAAGAGGTAATCAATAACAAATTAAGGGATGAAAGGCCATTAATGGATGTTCCTGTAAATTAAGAGGATAAAAGACAGTCAACCTAATTTTTAAAAGACTTGATCAGCCCCTTCACAAAAGAGGAAGTCCAAGGGGCTAATAACCACATGAAAAGTTTCTTAACATCATTAGCCAGCAGGGCAATGAAAATTAAAACCACTAGCCAATGCTACCATGCACCTGCCAGGATGGCTAAAATTAAAAGGTCTGATAAAACCAAGTGTGGACAGGAATGCAGAGCAACTGACATTCCCATTCATTGCTAGCAAGAGTGTAGATTGATACAACTACTTTGGAAAACTGTTTGGCAGTCATCTACCAAAGCTAAACATACATTTACCCTATGACACAGCAATTCCACTCCCAAAACAAATGAGAGCTTGGGAGCACCACAAGACACATATACAAAATACTCTTCAAAGCTTTAGTATAATAGCCAAGACTTAAAACAACCCAGGTACTACCAAAACTAAAATAAATAAATCAGTTGTATTATATTCATACAATAGAATACTATGCCACAATGGAAAAGAATTACCTATTACTATAAGCAACAATGTAGATGCATCTCACACACATCGGGTTGAGAGAAAGAAGCCAGCAAAAGAGTCCTGCTTAATTCAATGGAGGTGAAAGTCAAGCACAGACAAACTTCTCTAAGATGTGGGAAGTCAGAACAGCAGTTGCCCCTGGAAGATGGGTATTGTCTGAGAAGGACAGGAGGGAGCCCTCCGGGTGGTGGAAATGTTCTGCATCTTGATCTGGGTGGTGGTTCCATGGTTTTTTTAACTGACAAAGTCTTGAGGTTCAGGTACATTACTGCATATAAGTTTTACCTCAATACAAAAGAAAAGGAAGCAAAAGCACTCATTCAAAAACATAGAGTCAGATTCAGTGGGTCTTGTGGGGGGCCCAGGAATGGGAATTTTTAACAAGCTCCCCAAGTTGATGTAAGGCCAGTGGTGAGAAGCCACACAGTGGAAAGCACGGCCTCAGACCCATCCTGCGTGAGAGGTAGGGCTGGAGCACCAGGGTTCCCATTGGTGCATGGGACATGACTGTCTGCATTTTGCAGTTGGACAATCCGTTGACAAGAGGACATGCAAGGCTTTGCCGTTGATAAATACAGCTGCATAACCATGGACATGATAGGTGGCCTTAGCACACAAAAAGGGGTCCCAGGAGACCAAGATCACTGAATTCAGAGTCCCCTAAGCTGTGGGCCTGTGTCACACCCCCTCCAGCCCCTCCAACTACCCCTTCCTCAAGCCAGCATTCATTTGCCCCTGTCTGTTAGAGTTAAGGGTCTAAGCATCCCAGGTGGAGTCTGTGAAGCTAAGAGCCTAAGGGCTGGACAGGAGGACAGTAGTGACACATGCATCCAGGCAGTCACAGCCACCCCCTGCAGACAGGCCCTGAAACAGCGCCTCCTCACCCACCGGCAGCCATTCCCTGCCTCAGGGTCCCACCACCCTGGGCCATTCTGAAGGCTGTCCCCGCCTCCTCCTTAGTCCCTGTTCTGGAGCTGGGGTCTATAAAACTCCCAGGGCTCACTGCTTGGGAACGTCTTACACCATGGTACTTTCTTAACCTCTGCAGGTTCGGGCACAGTCGAGCCAAGCAAAGGGGGGAGGGGAGAGGAAAGTGCAGGGACACGAAGCCACATATTTTGGCCAGTCCTGACTTGCTCTGCAGCTCTTAAACCTCTTATTTTTATAGTAGTTATGCCAAGCACAGTAACATCTAAAATAAGTTCTGCGGAGTGTGGCAAACTTTTTTCCTTCTTCCCTCGTCCCTCTAACTTTTAGAATCCTGTTATAACTCACTCTGGATGTGGCAAAATCCCTGCGGAGCTCCGTGCATCCTGCTGGTCACTAGGTGTGTTGATGAAGCTCACCTGGACAAAGAGCTCTGGGTCTGGAATGGGCCTCTCCCCTGCAGCAGCAGCTTTCCCCTTGCTCTGTCTCTCTAATGGCTTCAAACTCAAGTCAGGGTTTTCCCTTGAAATGGTTCTTACCATTTCCCAAATCCTCACAGCTACTTCTTTCGAAGAAATAAAGGGGATAGGCGCAGCAAATGTTTTCAAAAATAAAAACTGCCTTGTCGTCCAACTGTGTAAAAACTTTAAACTTCTTAACGGGCTCCTTGTCAGATCTGCAACTGGGACAAAACACCTGGCCAGAGGGTGGGACGATGGTCTGCAGGGCCACAGCACCCACAGCTTACAAGACAGCAGGAAGGCGGTGATTGTCCATTTCCCCCAAATGGCCTTAAAGCTGGATTGTTCCAACCCAGCATGGCTAGTGACCTGAAGGCTATAAGGCATTTTAGAAGAATTAGCCAGCTGCTGCAGCTGCCAATAAAACAGGATTTACAGATCCAGTGTTGCCTCATCCTAAATTGCTCTAAAAAAACTTTTTCTGTCTCAGTCTGTTGTAAGTGAGGAGGTTACGGGAACACGGTGGGAGTGACGAGGACGCCTCGCTGTCTAATTTTATTACCTTAATGTGCATTGGCGCTAGAATGTGCCAGCAAAAATAAAGGCGAAGAAACACCATCTCCATAGCTCATTATTGAGCAATAATAGGAAAGATCATCTTGGTCGCGTTCATTAAGCAGACAGGATGATGGGATACATGCGTATATGGTAGGGGCGAGTAACTGACACTGTCACCATAATTGGGACGTTTTATCACACGAAGTTTTATTTTCCAGTGCTGATAATTCTTTCAGGCTAACTGTACTCTGGGCTAAACTTTCTCAGCAGGGTTCTCAGCCTACAGGGGAAATTTTTGTCTATACACATTTCTGATAAAATCAAATTAAGCAGTTTGAGAGATCAGAGTGTCTTTCGTTTCCAGTGAAGACCTAGGTGTTTGGAGAACCCAGAATTATATGTTTGCCTTGCAAATTCAACTTTTTCGAGCACCTACGATGGTAATTCTCAAAAGCAAAACATGAACACCTCTGATATGTTCCGAGAAACTCTGTTGACAACCATGGCTGTGATAGTTGAGGACACTGGTAATTCTGCTGTCCTGGCCTGCACCTGCCTCCCCTGACAGGGGCCCCCCAGTCCCTAGCTGTAAGGGTCCAGGCGGCAATTCCAAGGTCAGCAGCTCCCCTTTAAATTACAGCCCTCCCACCTACTCCATCAACAGTTACTCTATTCGGAATTTGTGGAAAATATTTTTTTTCAATTTCCTGGAAGTGCTTTTAGTTCAGGCAAATGACCTCTCTGATGGCCTGGAGTTATATGAAAGGGGCATCACCCACATCCCAGCCTTCCATTAAAGTGTCTCCCTGCCCCATGCCTGCCTCCAAAAGACCACATGGACCCCTGTCATCCCAGCGCAGACCTGACAGGGTGTGGTCCCTCCAGATACTCTCGGCGACTCCAACTACCCCTCGCTCCCCTTCCCACCAGGACAAGCCACACACCCACTTCCTTGACTCTCCACCTTCATGGCTCTACCTGCTTTCTAGAAAATTCTGGGTGGGCCTAAATAGTAAACACATTCTGTAAAGTAAGCAATTTTCTCTACCCAAATATAGTAAGAAACAATTTGGGGGTGGAGAAAAGATAAAGGAAGAGACAATAAATTGGTAATATTCCAATTGCTCCTTTTCTGATAACTGGCTTTCAACCAAGGAGGTAAGATACGCATCCTGTCTGCAGGGAACGATTCCAGTCCCTGCAGAAAACAGGGAGAAAGACCTGGAGTCTGGTGGAGGGATCTGGGAGCAAACATCTAATCTGGCTCCATCA